CAAAACAGGATTTTGGCTTAGGGTGCATGTGCTTGCCGAAAAGAGAGAGACAGTGAGAAGGAAAGTGAGAAAAACCCCTAGCGGGGATGGCCACACCACAATCCCTCCTCCAGTTTCCTCTCGGGGATTTTTGGGCATACATGCACACGTGTCTGGCATGATTTTCAAGCCATCAGGTCCGGGACTAGAATCGTGGTCAGCCGTGTGAGTGTCTAGCCACATAACCACTATGCCATCAGCTGGCCTAGGATAATTATTAAAAAAAAAAAAGGCTATATTCATCTAACGTGACAGCATGACACAAACGAAGCACTGGAGCCTGCGTTGTGCACCTTTTCACACGTCAATACCAACCACATAGTCCCTCTCTCCCTTCTCCTCCTGCTCAATTCCAGACTTTTCTGCCAGTCCTTGTCCCCTTTTTCTCCCTCAGGTTGAAGAGGGCCCTGCTTTCTTTGCTTCCTGTTAGAACACACCATTTGGAGGTCTAGACCAGGCTTACTGTGAGGGCCCTCATTGTTCTGTGCCCCAACCTCTGTTGTCACTCAAGACCCATGTGGCGAGACAGGCTCCAAGAATTTCAGAACTCTTGCGACGTTTGCGTATTAACTCTGAGCATGGACACATGTTGCCGCAGATTCCAGTCAAACTCCCTGATACCTCTGTAGTGGAGTAGTGGCACTGCGACAGCTTCACATCCAGTCCCAAAGGGGAAATGAAATATTCAAAAACTTAGTTAATTAATAGAGGTGCTATGATTGAACCTAATTCTCAGCTTCCTGGCAGCTAAGGCAATTGAAGAACTAGTTTTACTGTCCAAGTTTGGATTTTAACATCTTACTATTTCCTTTGCAATTAGTGAAGCACATAAGAATCATTAAAATCACAAGAAAAACGATCAGTGCTTAAATATAACTGACATCACGTTCACACATCCCGACACGCTGAACCAAGCCACAGAAAGCACCAAACGCACCATTTCTAAAGGAGGGTCCTCCCAGGAATCAGCCCTAAAAGTGCTATGGATTACAGTACGAGAAGGCTAAGGCAGTCTGCACAAAAGGCCAAGAAGAAACAGGTTTCTATCATGAAAGTCCAAAACAAGGCGCCAATCATCCTAAAGATGAGTGATGAGAGACAAAACAGAAGACTATCTTCTTCATGGGCGGGCCTGTGGCGTGGTGGTTGAGGTGACTGGATCCCACATGGCTGGCCCCATAATTTGAGTTCTGGACTGAGTGGCTTGAAAAAGACACTGGGCACATGTGTGTGCATGTCCAAAATTCTGCAAGGAGAAACGGAAGTGAAGGGATTGTGGTGCGACCATTCCCCACGGAACGAGCTTTGTCATCCACTTCCCTTCTCTGTCTCCTCAGTGAGTACACGTGCCCTTTGGAAAATTATTATGTATCTTTTTTTAAAAAACAAAACAGGATTTTGGCTTAGGGTGCATGTGCTTGCCGAAAAGAGAGAGACAGTGAGAAGGAAAGTGAGAAAAACCCCTAGCGGGGATGGCCACACCACAATCCCTCCTCCAGTTTCCTCTCGGGGATTTTTGGGCATACATGCACACGTGTCTGGCATGATTTTCAAGCCATCAGGTCCGGGACTAGAATCGTGGTCAGCCGTGTGAGTGTCTAGCCACATAACCACTATGCCATCAGCTGGCCTAGGATAATTATTAAAAAAAAAAAAGGCTATATTCATCTAACGTGACAGCATGACACAAACGAAGCACTGGAGCCTGCGTTGTGCACCTTTTCACACGTCAATACCAACCACATAGTCCCTCTCTCCCTTCTCCTCCTGCTCAATTCCAGACTTTTCTGCCAGTCCTTGTCCCCTTTTTCTCCCTCAGGTTGAAGAGGGCCCTGCTTTCTTTGCTTCCTGTTAGAACACACCATTTGGAGGTCTAGACCAGGCTTACTGTGAGGGCCCTCATTGTTCTGTGCCCCAACCTCTGTTGTCACTCAAGACCCATGTGGCGAGACAGGCTCCAAGAATTTCAGAACTCTTGCGACGTTTGCGTATTAACTCTGAGCATGGACACATGTTGCCGCAGATTCCAGTCAAACTCCCTGATACCTCTGTAGTGGAGTAGTGGCACTGCGACAGCTTCACATCCAGTCCCAAAGTTTGGATGGCAAATTCGTTTGCGGTAAATGTAAGAAAGATTCGTTTTGTATATTTCCTTGGCTTAAAAAAAATGAACTTGATTCTTAGAACAGTGTCAGGATTAAGAAAAGCTGAGCACAAGGTAGTGTCCGTGTTTCCCACAATGCCCGCCAGTCTCACACACATGCCTCACACCGTTATAATGAGCCAAACTGGAGATCGTATTGTTTACTTAAATCCATCTCTTTCCCCTCAGTTTCCCACATGACGTCCAGTGATCCTGTCTCCTTGGTCTGCTCTGGACTATGGCAGTCTCTCGTAGTGTCCTTCTGATGTCTTTGATGGCTTAGAGGGCTGCTCGGGTATTTTGCAGGAAGCCTTCAGTGGGAATTTATTTCCTTTGATTAGGGTTGTGATGATTTGGAGGAAGGCCTCAGAGGTAAGGCCCTTTTCCCAGCATCGAGTGTCCTCTCAGTCATCTCTGTCCACATTGGCCTTGAGTTAATACTCAAACATCGTGTTGCAGGTTTCTCCACAGCCCTCCCACAAGGTCTCTCTTTGAAGGTATCACTTGGAGCAGCTCACACCAAAAGAGTAGAGTGCGTGCTCCCTCCTTGGCTCCTGGGATAAGGGGCTCGGGCACTGTAGAGGGTCAAGCCTCTTGCCTCAGGGTGACCAAGCTTGTCCCCAGGGTCAGGAGCCCAGACTGCTGTCTGACAGAGGAGGTCTGCAGAGCTATGAGGACACTGCAATCACCCAGGAGAAGGAACACACAGGGGCTGCTCCAAGGGCTCCTGAGGGTCTCATGGGTTTCATTTCAGGTCCCGTCCTGGCACTGGGCTGCATTCCTACCCTTAGGTGACATCAGACACCCTTCTCTTCTTCTGTACCAAGCCTTGGTTGCTGAAATTATCCTAAATGCTTTTTTTCCATCTTTATTCATGACAACATGTTATACCCATGCACAGAAGTGGGACAGAGAGAAAGCAGCCCCCAACAGGGCCTGGACACACTACAATCCTTCTTCCTGCAATTCTCCATCCTGTCAGAGCATGACACATGCTTGTGTGCCCCTGGCACATTGCCACATTGCCACTGTGGCTGGGATTCACACCAGGGCTGCAGGGGCCAGGCAGGCACCTACAAGTGTGACATGGGAGGTGTATGTGGCATCTCAATCTTGGCACCACTGGCATTTTGCCATTTGTCATCCTGTGTGCTGTGGGACAGTTAGCAGCATCCCTGGCCTCCACCCATTAGCCTCCAGCAGTTCCACCTGGTCAGATGTCTTGAGGGGTACATGTGGGGTGTGGTGAGTGGAGGGATGACCAGAGACTGCGTGGGTCAGCTGCCTAGTAGATTCCAGAGCCCTTCTCCACCTCCACAGCTGCTCCAGCATAGTCACGAACACAAGAACTGGCAGTTCCATCACCGAGGGTGTCCTCAGGCCATGTACTGCATGAGGCCAGGCCTCCATGCTCCCACCTGCTAACCGTGAGCCCAGCTTCACTGTTTCTCCCATGGCCACAGGGCAGGTGAGTGCTGGCAGGTGAGCAGATGGGATGGTGAGGAGCACTGAGCAGCATGGCCACAGAGCACCTGCCGATGATTTACCAGAGAGCACTGCATGTCAAGGCATGACTCCACGTGGAGAGCCGTGGGCAGGTGTCTCCATGACTGCCAAGCAGAAAATGGTCTATTTCAGTGAGCAACTTCTACAGTAAAGGTGATACGGCGCTCTCTTCCCTCTTGCACATTTTAATATGCCCTCTGTGCAGAGGCAGAAATTCCCATAAAAGTCGTCTCATCTTGCCTGAACTCCAAGTCTTCCCTCCTGGCAACAATCTGACACACACTTTCCGCCTACCACTGCTCTTCACTGCTGCTCAGGGGCTGCACAGGAAGCTGCATGGGAAAGGTAACCTACTTCTAGTTCACTTCTCAGGAAAGCTTCTTGACAAAAGTTTAGTACACGTAATGAAGTGTGGACAGGCAGTTGATATTTTATCAAGAGCGAAATGGTGCCTGACTAAAGCAGCCAAAGGAAATAAAGGGCTTGCTTTTGGTTAGACTGTTCACTAAAGCAGCTCTGGTCACACTGTTGCTGCAGGTACTGCGCTGCATCTGTGCCCCTGGTGCATGTACTGCATTGTGCCTCTGCTCCTGCTGCAAGTATTGCACTGTCTGTGCCCCTGCTGCACATACTGTATTGTACCTCTGCTCCTGCTGCACGTACTGTGCTGCGTCTGTGCTCCTGCTTCAAGTACTGCACTGTGTCTATGCTCTTGCTGCACGTACTGCACTGTCCCTCTGCTCCTGCTGCATGTACTGCATTGTGCCTCTGCTCCAAGTATTGCACTGCATCTGTGCCCTGCTGCACATACTGTGCTGCGTCTGTGCTCCTGCTGCACATTCTGCACTGTACCTCTGCTCCAGCTGCATATACTGTATTGCATCTCTGCTCCCACTGCATGTACTGCCCCTGCGTCTGTGTCCCCACTGCATGTACTACTGCTGTGTCTGTGCCCCCACGGCATGTACTACCACTGTGTCTGTGCTTCCACTGCATGTACTGCCCCTGCATCTGTGTTCCCACTGCATGTACTGCCCCTGCATCTGTGCCCCCACTGCATGTACTGCCCCTGCGTCTGTGCCCCCAGTGCATGTACTACCACTGTGTCTGTGCTCCCACTGCATGTACTGCCGCTGGGTCTGTACTGCTGCTGCTGAGCAACAGAATTTTCATTTGCCAAGTCTGAGCCAACTTGCCCACTCTACCGTTTTATTCATGATTGTGCTTTGAGCAGGTAACATTGTTGCTCCTCCTTCCAAATGGAGACCTGCATGTGGGGAGAACAAATGAAATGAGAGACAGCACAACGTACCTGTCGTGTCTCAGGGCTCTCATATCAACATAGACAGTGGTTGGGTCAGGTCCTGAGGTCCCCTGCAAGCAACAACACAGTGTGGTTAACTTGAGTTCTGTGGAAGGAAATGGGGGTCTGTGGTTTTTACTAGCTGGGAAGCATTTCTTTAGCAAAATTTTAAAACTAAAAAAAAAAAAAAAAAAACCAAAAAGAAAAAACAAAAACAGAAACAAAAAACTAAAAGCACTAAACTATACCTTTCCAAGGTACCTGCTAACTTTCAGTTAGAAAACCTTAATTCCAAACGGAACATCTGATTAAGATAAAACCGGATGTTCCCACACCCTGGCCACCAATCACATACGTACAAATAAGAAGATGCACCATGGACTTTGCCAAGGAAAAGAAGGTTGAAAACGCCAAGGAAATGGTTGGCTGGCCAAAGCAGGTTGTCAAGGATACAAGGCATCCCCTGAGAATGTTTTAGGACGTGTGTCCAAAAAGGTGTATTTTTAGAGCTCAAGATACTGAAGCAGATATGGGACAGAAACTGACACAGACTGAGGAGGAAGAGGTCAGAGATAACGATCTTGTTCCTGTAAGTTCCGCTCGTGCCTTAGCTGGCCAGCCGCAGGAGGCTGCTTTGTCCATGACCTAAGTCAGGGAGGTTGTATGTTTCTCTCGGTCACTAGCTGGGATTTTGTGGTCTGACCTCTCTGTGTATTTAACTCAGGGGTCCAGACATCTTATCTGGGCACCATAAATCTCTTTAAAAAATTAAGGTGGGCTAACTTCTGACCAATGACCTCTGTCCACCTAAGAGCAGTCTGACTAAGTCAACATTTATGTGCATTTCTTGGAAAGGCAATATAATACTTCGGTTAGAAAAAGATGGACCCTACAACAAATTTGTCAAAAACAAATTTTAAAAAAAAGGAGTTCTTTAGAATTTAAGAGCTATGTTTAAATTACTCAGAAAAGAATCTTAATTCTGTACCAATGACATATTTAAATACAGGGAAAAAAAACCCCCTGACTTTATTAAAACATACCACACTACTCAGTAACCCTGGCTATTGCTCTGTCTCGCCACCAAGGAAGAGAAAAAGGGCCCATGTGCATCGGCCTCCAGGTGGGGCCCTCAGCGAGCACAACAGAACATCCTTTCTGACTTTGAGAGTCAGCGAAGCTGAGTACAGACCAGGGCTGAGTGGAGACTGATTTGTTCTGAGTCATACAAACACAAAACCACAGAAGGTCATTAAAAAAAGGCAAAACAAAACAAAACAAAACAAAACAAAACAAAACAAAACAAAACAAAACAAAACAAAACAAAACAAAACAAAACAAAACAAAACAAAACAAAACAAAACAAAACAAAACAAAACAAAACAAAACAAAACAAAACAAAACAAAACAAAACAAAACAAAACAAAACAAAACAAAACAAAACAAAACAAAAAACCCAAAAGAACCAGAAAACAGGTCAGTTAAAGTGGAAAGTGAAGTATACAAGGGAGATGGACCCAAATTGGCAAAGAAATGACTGATCGTGTGCAGTGGAAATCTGGCGTTTGTCACAGGTGCAAACCGTCTGCAGAGACCTGAGAGGTGACATCACCCTGTGCCGTCAGTACCCTGATCATGGGGTCTACAGACCCTTAGTCAATCTCTGTCTCAACCTCTAGTCTGTCCCACGGCTGAAAGCGGCGGGAGGGAGGCAGGCACTGGTGCAATGAGTGTGAAAGTCCCCTACCTGCTCGGCCAGTGTCCGCAGCCTGTGGGGCTACAGCAGCAGGAGGTGGGGAACAGAAGAAAGGAGAGAACACCAGACCGACAGAAACCAGAAATAAACAAGGGACACACACACAGAACGATCCAGGATTAAAATGGGATGAGGGGTGGGGGAATGCAGAAAGCGGGGAACAAAGTAAAAAGAAGATCAAAAACAATGTCAAATATGGAAACTGTTCAAATTAATCACTGTACCATTAAATGCTAAAAAAAATTTTAAAAGATGTCAACATATCAACAGAGCAACGGAAGAGAGTAATAGGTGACTAGCCATGGACACACAGACCTGAGCTAGTTTCTGATGTAGACAGTGAGTGGTCTTGTGGGGCACTTTATTTTATGGTGGCGTCCTTTTCTTAGAGAGGTGTAGAGTATAAATCTTACGGGCTAATTCTGTTGACTGCACCTTCATTGGAATAGTTCCAAGTTTCCAATTACAATAATGAATGAGAGCCTGGAAGCTTTCACATCTAAAATTAGGTTATCTAGTTCTAATTCATCCACAAAATTGGGTGAGAGAAAGGAGGCAAAAGCACATCTGAAGCCTAAAGAAACCAAACATCAGGGGGACCAGCAGTTAGCGTAATGGCTATGTCGCTGGATTCCCATGTAGTTGACTGCGGTTCACGTCCCAGGCCCGGTGGCTTAAAACTCACACCGGGTGCGTGTGCGCGTGTGCCCAAGATCCCGAGAGGAGAATGGAGAAGGGATTGCAGCATGGCCATTTCCCCTGGGGTGGGGGCTGACTTCTTGCTTTCTGTCTCTATCTGGTGAGCGCATACACCCTATAACGAAAAACTTGTCAAAAAACAAAACAAAGAAACCAAACATCGGGCTTGCATGTCATCTAGCTCAGTGGCCTGAAGAATTCCTGTCCAGTGAGTATCCTGTCAATCATCACCCTTGCTGTTACCCAGACATGTCAACCTCCGTTTTCTTCTCATCGCCCTAGGTTTTAGTACCCACCTGCTACCCATTATCACGATCTACAGCAGCATAAATAGCAACTCAGGCAAACGCCTTAGGTGCATTCTCCCTAGGCTACTTAAGTATCTTTTCCCAAATATTCCCAGAGGAGTAGAACAAGCAGCGTCTTCATGGGCACCTGTATGATGCACAATTTTGCTTTTATTCACGGCCCAGTACCAGCCCTGATTCCCTGCAATGACAATTGCTAGGCAGACACCAGCAATAACAACAGAAATGGGGAGGGGGGCGGGGGACGGGGAAGAGTTCTTAACAGGTTTTCTATGGGCTGAAAATTGGTAATAAAGTCAGATTGAAAAACTGCTACCTTCCAAAATGGAGCCAAGTCTATAAAAATAAGCAATGGTTCGATTTCCCCCCCACCCCAAGGGAGCAAATGCTTGCCTGAGAGAAACGGAAAGAGAGGGAGACGAAGGGGAGAAAGAAGCTCTCATGGGGAATGGCCACACCTCAATCCCTTTCCTCCATCTCTCTCCCTCCAAGGTTTTGGGGTATACGCACACCCGTGTCCAGCGTGCTTCTCAAGCTGCTGGATCTTGGGCTGGCATCACACAGTTTGCCACGTGCGATCCACTTCCTTAGCCATCAGGCCACAGAGCTGGCCTACATGGCTCAAAATGTAAATAAATGTGTCATTCCATCCATTTCTCTGTTGCTTACTTCATTGTAGTGCTTATGGCTTTTGCTATCTCTCAGTATCTTTATTTTTAAAAACTAGAGGCAGGACAGGAGGAAGAAAATAACTGGGTTAATAAAGGTAGGGGCACTCTGAAGGGCTGCTGGGCTTTTACTGCTGTATCTAAGCTAAATGCAATGATTTAAATAATTTCCTCCTTTTATGATTCCTTGAAAACCAATTATTAATTGGAATAAAAAATAAGTCAATGTTCTAAGTTATCTCAATTCACAAATTTTGCTTAAAAGGTTCCAGGTAGTATCTCAGGAAAAAAAAAAAGGATGATCAAGACCTTATTTTCTATCTGGTGTGGAGGAGACACCACCATGTCCAGAACAAAGCAGGTCTACATGTCAATAAAGGATGCACCAAGGAGGAGATAAAGTTAAAACAGAAATGTTTCCAAACTTCAAAATCCCTGTGGTACCTAGCCTGAATTTCAACATATGTATTATGAAGTGCATATTTATCTTGCCAAAGAATGCAAATCCTAGTGTGGTCTTAAATAAGAACATCCCTAATGCATGTATGTGTTTAGAGACCATCAACTACTTCCTAAGAGGACCAGCAGAACACAAAGTGATCTGTTCCAATGAAAGCTTATTCAGAAATGAAGATAAAACATTTTTAAAACTGTATCTTATGTTAATCAGAAAACAGGCTTCACGTAAAACTTAATTGTGTAATAAAAATAAATGTACTAAATATAAAATTTTTGAGTAGTGCTGTCATACCTTTTCTACATTTTTATCTTTAAATTGTGGTTAGAAACCACAAATGTAATACACTTCCCTTGCATGACAGACTTGGCAACATTATGAAGTCATTAACAGTGCTAGTACCGATCTAAACTCAGAGAAATGTATTTGATGAAAAAAGGCTATTTTACACTTTGATTCACACATTTGATGGCTAAAAAGTGACTACAACATGCAAGACTCTTTTTTTTTTCCTTTTTTTGGAGAGATTTTTTCGCTATAGGGCGCATGCGCTCACCAGATAGAGACATAGAGACAGAAAGCGAGAAATCACCCCCCAGGGGGGATGGTCACGTCGCAATCCCTTCTCCATTCTCCTCTTGGGATCTTGGGCACACACGCACACGCCCGGAGTGAATTTAAGCCACCGGGTCCGCACACGCGATTTCTCACTTTCTGTCCCTCTGTCTCTCCAGCAAGGGTACACACCCTACAGCAAAAATATTTCTTGGGGAAACAACAACAACAAAACTCCACCGGATTTCCAAATCTTAACCAATATGATAGGGAACCTCTAAGTCCTATTCATTATTTGATTTTGCTACTCTGACATCTTTACATAGCTGTCAAACTATTTTTCTTTTTACTATATATTTTAGAAATTAGAGTAAATGAAATGTAAACTTTGGGCTAACCTGGAGGCAGGCTGAGAGGGCACATTGGTTCAATATGCTCATTATCTAAGGGCTAAGAGAAACTGGTAGGAATCTCTCTAGCTCGGGACCAGCAGTTGGTGTAATGGCTGTGTTGCTGGACTTCCATGTAGTTGACCGTGGTTTGAGTCCCAGACCCGGTGGCTTAAACTCACACCGTGTGCATGCGTGCCCAAGATTCCAAGAGGAAAATGGAGGAGAAGCAATTGTGG